GTGATAGCGAGAGGTGGATTGCAAATGGAGCTCTATAAATAGCAATGCAGCAGGGGTATGGACTGGAGCAGGGCGTGATCCTTCAAGATTTGTCACCGCAATTCTAAAAAATATTAGCATGAGGATGTACCGCTTATGTGGAATCATCTACTGTCGGTGACATCTCATATATTAACATTGAACCCAGTAAAAAGTAGGCATAAAGGATTTTGTACAGCTTCTTTCAGCTCGATTTTACACTTCATTGCAAATGGAGCTCTTAAAGGTGGGGTAGGTAATTTTGGAGAAACCAGCTCGAGTGCACTAGAATTTGAAAATACACAGCCGGAAAAAATCTGCCACTTCCTTACAGAGCCCCTCCTCCAACAAACACGAACACGCACATGACCAATGAGGGCACGAGATAAGTTTGTGCACAGATGGAAGGCTGACAGTCAGGTAGGCCATCCAGTTATTTTAGCCGGGCCGGCTCAAATGATTGGTCGTGCTTTTTGCAGTACTACGGCTTCCACAAATGACATTTTTTAATGGATTTTTTTGTCAAAGCACTTCAGATATTCATTGATANGTGGGGATTTTAAGACCGCGGAGGATACACTGGTGCATCCTCGAAATTTCCCGCAACGAAGGATTCAGTCTTCAGTAGAATTCCTAGGATCCTGGACATTGGAACAGTCCTTCGACGGGATTCGATGACGTAGCATCCTTGAAATAGTGGCTCTGGAGGAGCCTTTCTCGACATTGAGAAGCACCCACTGACTCGGAAGACATGTCCTACCAAGGAAGCGTCCTCGACATTGAGAAACACCCACCGTCTCTCCTGCACAATCTCATCAGATCCAAATATGGTCATTTCCTTTGGGTCTTAAACCAAAAAAATAAATCTCATAGGCTGGGGTCAATTTCTGACAACGTGATTCGTTCATATGCGTCACGTAGTGCGCTAAAACACGGCAAAAGAACAGCGAAAAAAACGTTCACAGAGAAGACGACACCAAACCTTCCAGTTATATTCCTATCAATATTCTGAAGGTTTTTACTGAAGGGTTTGTTCATATATCATTCATAGCCTGAATTATATAACATTTTAAACCTAAAAACATGGCAAACTTTAGATTCTAATATGACTACAAAATTAAACAAGAATTTTGAACCTGACTTTATCCAATGTTCAGAATTGTGTTCCTGAAATGTGTTAAAAGATGTGCATATTTGATGATATTATGGCTAATTTGCATATTATACATTATTATATTACATAATATGTTATTTCATAAAACTTGTAATACAAAAAACAATTGTCTTAATGTAAGTAATTAACTGGAGACATTTCTAGCTGATATATTTAAGTTAAAAAAAGTTACCCTATTCACCTGTAGTGTCTCGCCATACATTCTTGCAAAATTAGGAATAAAAGCTAATCAAATCATGACTCCATGACTCCATAATAATCTAATCGTTCATGATTATATATCGGAATTGGCCAATGAGTTCAAATTCAGGCTCATGAAGTAACAATGCCCTTCAATGTACAGCCAGTTTGAAGGGGGGGGACTGACCTCTCATACAGAAAAAATCCAGTGAGTCTCAAGGAAGCTTTATATAGCACATTCGATACTATTCATATTATTTTTGAAATAAGCCTATTTTGTAACTAACGGCGTAGAACCTTTTTTGCCTGTGGGCTATATGTCCTCTTTGACCATTTACAGGCACACAAACCTATATATAGGTTTGTGTGTTATATATGTGTGTTATATATAACACACAACAGGAAAGGGAAAAACCCAAAAAGCATAATAGGGCCCCTTTAACCCAAGGTAGCTTTTGGTTATATTGGTATAGTGTAAGCTTCTTTTCATCTTGACCCCACATACAGTACTGGCTATTTCCTTCATATAACTTTTCTTCTTAGTGAATGACTAGACACAAACACAATGGTGTCTTTAATGTCTAGACTAGCTGCTCAATTAAACACATTTGCAAATCATCAAAAGCCTTTAGGGAGGATCTAAGTGATTACAGTAAGAGGTACACTACATCCTGTTTTTGCAGTGGAATCAAAACTAGACTCATAATGTGAGCCTGCACTTAATAACTACTTGATTCTATTCATAAATTCATTGATATGTTTTTATGGTGTGCCATTTCCAAATAAGTCCATTAAAATGATAGTTTCATCAGTCAATGTAAAAAGAAATTATTTTTTGGTCCACCTCTTAACAAGGATTATCACAGTATTGTAGAATGAGTAAGTGAGCTGTGTTTTGTACAACAGCACTGACAGTCTGACTTACTACAGCTGATAAAAGTGCTGTGGCTTATGTCTGCCGTGTCAACACAACACTAAAGGACAGCCGAGGAGTGACGGACAGAAACAGAGAGGAGGCAGAGGAGGACGCCGGGGGCCTTTAAACACTTCTGGGAGAGAGGGAAGAGGCAAGGCCAAGTAAACACAACACTGATGAAACTGAGCTAATGTGCCGTGACCACATGGGGGGGTGGGGGGTTAAAGGACCCTATCTGGTGTATCTGTTACCACAGCAACTGGAGTCATCATATGTTGTCTGATTTGTCTCGATGAATGCTTGAGCTACCAAGTGAAGGAAAAATATTCAGAGTTTTTGTAACTGAGTCCTGTGAGTGTTGACACAAGTGTGTGTGTTACTTCTCTGTACTCGAGTGTATGTCTGGGGTTCCTCTCCAGAGACCATTTCAGAAAATGATTCAGGAAATGTAACTGGGACAACTTTATCAACCTTTTAGTCATGACACAGCCACCATGAGGCCAGTGAGACACCGCAAACAATTAGCGATAATCAGTGTTAATAACACTGGACTTCTCACTATGGGGACTTAACCTTTGACCTTGTGGTATCCTTATCTCGGCTGGACTTGAACAACAGCTGTTGTGTATCATGGTCTGCATCTCAATCCCTAGTTAAGAGAATAAGATAATCATACTAATAGCAGAACACATTATACAAGTAAATTGGATAAATAATGGAAAGATTAATTAATTATTAAAGAGGACATATTATGCTAATTTTCATATTTGTATTTAGTGTCTCTACTGTGACATGTCTCCATGCTTTAATGTTCAAAAAGTTCTTTATTTTTCTCATACTGCCTGTGCTGCAGCACCTCTTTTCACCCAGTCTGCTCTATATATCTACTTTTATAATTTTCAAATCATAAATCTATCGATTAGATTTATGATTAGAAAATTATAAAAGTAGGGTAGACATGTGGATATTATCCGGCTGAACGAAACGTGATCTGTCTCTTCAATTTGTGTCAACCACAGACCTTATTTCGAGCTATTTTCCAAAATCCTATGGAGAAATTGCATTGGTTTTTGTCGAAAGAACCGGAAGTGGTAAAATGTTAACTTACTTCCGGGTTTTAGGTCGCGTCACTGTGGCACTCTATACACACTAATGTTAAAATATGAATGAAGTCTCTAGCTGAAAGTATGTGGAAGGAGAAGCATTTGGAGCACGGTGTAGTTAAAAGAGGATTTGAAGGTTCCTCCCATTGAGTTACATGTTAAAAAAAGAGTTTAAAAAGCGGAATATTTCAAAAGGTATAACATATTTTCAAAAGTTGAAAGTTTCCCATCATGTGCTGAAAAGGCTGAACATTTTGATATTTGAATGGTTTCTGTAGCTGAAAGTAGGCTGAAGTTATTCGACTGTAAAATAATGGATGAAATAATAATAAGAAGAAGAAGAAGAAGAAGAAGAAGAAGAAGAAGAAGAAGAAGAAGAAGAAGAAGATTAAAGATTTGAAGAACTATAGTGGAAGGCTGTGGCACAGCATTCGCACTAATAAACCAGTGACTGTATTTGCCATGACACAGACAGTCTGTGGTTTGTACTTGTTTAACTTTTGTCCAGTTTCTGAACAGATATGAGGAGCTGTGAGCTCAGTGTGCTAACAGCTAACGGCTGATGTTTTGGTTTTCTGATTCAACGTCAGTGACGGCAGGCTGAGATCCTCACCGCTGATTGGCTACCGTGAGATCGCGCCAGGCAAATTTGACGCTCGAGGTGAAAAAATGTAACTCGAGCGGTTGTCTCTGCCCCGTTCAATCGCACCGCGGAATTCGGATCAACCGCTTCATGCGCGCCGTCGGAGCGAATTTGCGTCTGTTCGTGTCTCTGCATTGACTTTACATGTAATCACGCAGCCCCCAAAAATTGCATCGCGTCCGGTGTGAACATACCATTAGAGATGTCCTGCTCCTTAGCTTAACACCTAGAATGTGTTGGAGCCCTATCCAATAGAAGTGTGAGTGTTACATAGTGATGTCATTACAGGAGCAGTGATCTGCAGGTACCAGTTATTTCAGATACTTTTGCTCAAAACCTTTCAGTTCAGATAAGAAGTCCTTCAATTTGGTAAATCCACATTTCAATGACTAAGGTTACTGCCTTCTAGCTCTGTGATTGTTTGGTTTTAAATTTACTGCATAAATCCATTAATCTCTCTCTCTCTCACACATACACACACACACACACACACACACACACACACACACACACACACACACACACACACACACACACACACACACACACACACACACACACACACACACACACACACACACACGACAAAACATGATTCTCACAACAGATATAAAATGTCATCATTACAGATTCCAACAGGCTTATTTTAAGTTTTACAGTAGTTTGACTAAATGTGTCTAATTTCAAGTCCTTGTGCATTACAAATAGTATTGTTAGACTGACCTATACATTTCCAGTCGCCTGTTATTCTGTGTGCATGTTGGCATTGATTAAACAAGGCCTTTCAAATGTCTGAAGCCCATCTTAACACCACTGCTACAAATGATAATAAATGTCATATTCAATATACTTGTACAACCATTTTTTTTTACAAAAGTCCAAATACAGACGTAAAGTCATATCTGTATCACCAGCACCATCTGTTTGATTTGAACAGTATGATTAAAGCATGCTGATGGCACTTACCGTTGACGGTCAGATGCACCCAGCTGCCATTGTGGAAGGTGTCATACTGCTGCTCCAGCATCAGCACCTTACACTCATACCAGCCCTGGTCGTCTGAGCGCACGTTCTCTATCCGCAGGGAGGACTTGTCGTGCAGACTGGCCCGGCCTGGGGGGGGAGAAGGAGATGATGTGTCAGCAGAAAGGGACACACAGAGGTGAGTGGGATGGGTGGATAGAATTAAATGAGGAAGGAACAGGTGAGAGGACAAGAAATAAAGAGGAGAGAAACACCAGATGAATGTCAAAAAGGTGATCAACCTTCAGATGCATTAGATATTAATAGCATTAATATTACCTTGAACAAGCCCCTCTTTATGTTGCAATAGGCTTAGACTGTTTGTATGTCCAATAGACTAACTCAGCATCCGGGGTGTACAGTAATTCCCCAGAGTCTGTGTGTCTCTCACCTGGCAGGTTGCCAGTATTAAAGGTTACCATTGTGTCATGTGTCGTGTACCTGCCTGATGCCCATGTTATTTATATATTTTTCAACCTGGATCCATCCCTTCTTTAAACATTCACATGATGATTTTGGTCATTTGGATTGTCTATCTTGTCATTTTATTATCAATTTCATTTATGGACATGACATCTATTGCTAGTTTTTCTCAGTCCTGGGCAAGATTTTTTATTATAGGATTTCTTTGGGAGTTTTTCCTAGTCTGTTTCAAGGGTCTGAGAACAGAGGTTGTTGTATGCTGCTAACAATGACCTCTGTGAATTTTTTTGTAATTTGTGATATTGGGCTATATAAATAAAATGTTACCCATTGACTGATTGCTCAACACACTCACTGCTGCACTGTTAACATTCAACCACGACCTGCAGTGGTAAATATGATGTGAAATGTGTCACGTAAACCTTAGTGTGGCTGAGATGTCCTTATCTCCATGTGTGTGCCGGTCTATTTTGGAGACGGTCTCAGGCAAGGGCAGGTCATTACTTCCTTTGAGGAGTGGGAAGATTCCAACATGACAACAGAGAACCCTCAGCTGTAGACAGGCTTTGCAATCCATCAGAACAGATATTGGTTTCTGATTTGCTGTATAGAGTCAGTAATAGCTGCATTTTACTTTTACAGATCAAAAGCTGAGAGGGGGATTGATGATGTTGCTCCGGGCAATCTGGCAACTGAATTATAACAGATTGTGACTGGCAATACAGGCTAAACAAAGGGCTTTAAGGAGGCACATGCCAGCTCAAAACGTCAGCATTATCAAAGCTTTGCGATCCCTCATTAATCCCCTAACCCCCCTCCCCTTTTCTATACTTTGTGGGTATTCCTTACTCATTCTCTGTGGCTTTCATTAAACCACTCTGCAGTATCACAGACCAGGTAAACATATCAGGCGCACTGAGGTAAGGTACAGAGTTATAGGGATGTTTGTTCACTAGCCTTTGTTTTTAGGCATGTTTGTGTATATATATATTTTTCCAGTTACAACCATGTTTCTGAAAAGAACAGAGAAAGAGACTATGTTCATTATTAATGGTGAAATATACATTTATTTTATTGCATCCACTATGTACTACAGTATGTGCTGACGTTTATATTTTGATCAGAGTATTTCTTTTAGATTTTGCAGGAATAGTATTATACTGTGTCACTATATTATAAAATGTAAAGGCAAACTAAGTATATTTATATAGCACCTTTAAACACAAGCCAATTCAAAGTGCTTCAAAGGGATATACTTAAACATGACATCCTTTTTACTTTATTTGCAAATGTCTTAAGGAAATAAAAGGTATTAAATTAAACAAATGTGTTTATTGGTCCTAAATGTTATGTTCTCAGAGTTAACAGCCATGCTGCTGTTTTTAGGTGTAGTTGAACTGTATAGCTGTGAAGCCTGAATCCATGCAATAAAGAAGTTATTGGGATCTACTTTAATATTAGTAGCACAAAATAGAAAACAATTTATGAGATATTTTAGTGAGAACAACATTGGTGGACCAACTGACAGTAAACATTAAACAAACATTTTTAAAACTCTCATTTGAATCGAAGCTCAATTCACAGTAGGAATATACATCCTAAACTGTGTCAATATAACAATGAAATAAGTGAGAGAAGAACCTAGGGGTAGCAAAGCAGCAGTCAGCATGACTTTGTTTCATTGAAGTAATTGAGACACAAGTCCAGCTGTTCCTCCAATGGTTTTCTGTTCAGTCAGTCTTTACGTCTTGTTTCTTCTATCAGTCTCCTGCAGCCGACACACGGCAGTCTGCCACAGAGCAACACTCCTCCTGATTGGCATTCACTGTGATAACACAGGAGGACTGCCTATGGTGCTCCAGGTGCTGTGGGTTGACTGTTCACTGCAGTGTTAATCAAAGGAGATGTTATTGAAATTTCATTGAATCTTAAAAAAACACGATTTCATTTTAATATTTGTTTCCAGAGATGTGAGCTATGCCATTGATGCAGACTGGATAGGTTTAGATTTGAACACAAAGGTTACATGGTATCAGGCTGATGTATCCACTAAATGTTGTTGGGAATGTACAGTGTCATACCAAGGCCATATGGTCAATCTTAAATAGTTTGTTTAAAATGTAATTAGGTTTTACAAGTCTTGGGAATAAATTGTAGGCTATATAGAAAGGAATACTAGGAGGAACGCCCATCCTGCTTTTATCAATTTAAATTGTTTTCAATCAGAAGGCAGCACATCCCGTTGAATTGGACCACCTCCGGAAAAAGCGCTGCACCGTTTTTTACTGAGCAATCCACCAATCTTGTGCGGCCACAAGGTGATATTATTTCAACTTTTCAGAAAAGCGCTAGTGAGCTTGACCATATCTTTAGACAGAATTGATCATAACAAAGTGTTCAGTGGCCAAAAAGCCAAACCGGCGCCCAAGCGGATCGGGACCCTGTTGATAAGTATTTACCCTTCACTCTACAGCTGTCAAACTGAACACTGACAAGCTGATTATCCCAGATTGTGAGAGCAAGTATTGTAATGTTGAAAACACAAGATCAAACATATACAGATGATAAAATCCCAGGGGGCTATGCTGCCCAGCGCCCTGCCAGGACCTTTCTGATAGAAGAAGCTGCTTCATGGACACAGGGCCTTAATTAGCTTCGGAATGTAAATCGAGACACCCCTACAACATACTGCACCTTGCATTTATTCTCATAGATGTACTTAATATTTAGATGTCCTTTATAAGTATGAATCCAACCAAGCATATTGTTTTAGTTTTATAAAACGATCAGATTTCAACTAAGCGAGATTTAAATGTAAGATGCCTGAATTTAGAAGAAAAATGCCACTATTCTTCTGGACCTAGCACATACTTCCACAATAATAAGGGACATTCAAAAATGTAATCTGGGACCACTGCTGTTTTTTATTTGTTCTCTATGCCTCCATTTCTGAATTAATCTTCATGTTGTTTTGCTCTCTTCCTGTCAGGCTATCAATTGATATCCATCTCTTCCTGTCCAATCTCATTGAATAGTTCTATATTTTTCTGCCTCGCCTACTCGGATGTTTTCTACCTCTTCCTCTGAAAAAAAAAAAATAGGACAATGGCTTGTTTGAGACGAAGGGCAGACGGGTGTAGGAAACAGTGACCCTGTGGTAGGATCGACTCGTTAACCCTCAACATCATCATAAGTCTAAAGAGGGCACAATGTGAGCTGCTGTGTCTCTCAGAAGCTTTCAATGTGACCTGTGACTTCATTCCATGATGCAACATCAGAGTCACACTGCAAACAGCGGGAGGTCGCTGTTCGTCTGAACGCAGATATAACTTCAGATGTTCCTCTGCTGCATTCTGAAACAAGATGAATCGTCACTTTGCTTAAGGCTTGAGCTAGTGATGTGTCTCTAAGGATTGAAGACACAGCAAGATGAATTTTAAAACAGCACACCAAGCAGAAGTTGTGCACATAGTCTCTCAAAACCAGTCAAATGTATGTCATTGATATCTATGAACTGCAGTCTTTAACATGAATCCAATCCAGCTGATTGACAACAGTCTGAACAGTTTTGTTCTTCATTATTTTCAGAAGCTGTACAGTACCATTTAAAAAAAGTATCATCTTTGTGATCATGATATTGAAACCATGGTATTGTTAAGTGAAGAATGGAAATGCAGTTTTACTCTTACAGATAATCCAGATTTGGGGAAATTGGGAGCATGATAAAAGATATTTGATCATGCTAATAACAGAAAGGGTGGGATTATTTCAAAAATGCAATGATCAGAGGAAAGTTAAATAGAAAAGCAGGAAAGGGCATAATCCCTCTCGCGTCCCCAGCAAACATCACAAAGATAATCTGAGGGGGAAAGAGCTGCTACCTCCAAAGGAAATGTCATCTTAATAAAGCTGTCTACAGTTAGTTAGTAAATGCAATACAGTCTACACTGAACACTACTGACAAACAAAGCTCTGTCAAGAATGTGGTGGTTTAAAAAAACGTAGTTTTCTTATTAAATGAAAGCAGCCACTGATATGCGAAATTAACGTAATAGGTTTAAATCTTATACATTAGAAGGCGTTATGTGGGTGGAGGCAGTGGGCTGGTAGGTTAATCAGTGTTTAACCAAACACTGCCTAACACAGAGTACCGTGCCAAGTCTATTCACCACAGGACAAGCTGCAGTTTAGAGCTGTGTTTTTTGGCAGTTTGTACTCAAAGCATCAGACGGTTTGAGTTAAAGGGACTGTGAGTCTTCCTCTGTGTTGGCTGGCTGATATCCAGTGAGTGCGTGACATAATATTCAGGAACTAGGCTATTAGCACGTTACTCCCCTCACCATCAGTACATTGGAAATAGTGACCCTCATTACTACAGCTGATATCTCCAACCAAGATCTGCTTTCATATGAATCATCAATCAGCAATGATGACATATTGGAAGTACGTCGTCACTACAGTTATAGCATCAAGGGCTCTCTCGACAAAAAGCTATTGGATTTCCCCATTGGATTTTGGTATATTGCAGAAAAAAGCTCTGTGGCAAACACACATTTATGATACTTACCGGAATTGTTCAGAAGAATTATTCTGACACATGATCAAAACGTTGTGATTTTTTTAAGCGTAAATGCAATAGCCAGAAGTCAAAAGCTAATGTTAGGCTA